GTAAAATGAAACGATAGACGTTTTTATATCGTTTCATTTTACGCTGTTCGTTATATCGAACAGCCCTATCCCGCCTCTTACCCTATGATACCTGGGGTAGGCTGCAGTAACACATCACAGTCCACATTAAACACACACGTCCTACAGTCTGCCGTAACAGGTACAGGATCAGTCACTGGCTTATAAGTGGAAATATTAATAAATTGGCATAATTACTACACAAAAACTGAAAAAGAACAAAGTGAAAAACAAAATGTCATATCTGCAACAATCTTTGAATCCTGCTATGTAGCATTCATTATTTTTTATGGTTTTATTTATTTACACTGAGAGCCACGTTTAAGAAAAAGTTCCACTGCTTTGCGATGGACAATAAAGTTTTGATCCAAAACTTTATTGTTGCGATGCTCCCAAATATATTTATTGTATAAGAAGACAACAAAACAGAGAGTTACTTACAGCTCCTTTTCCAGCTGCTGCTGAATCAGTTTAGCAGATTTTGCCATGGTGATGTCTACAAGATAAAGACACCAGTGAATAACCTGGATGTACTCAGAGTAAACAGTGAAGGCTCAGATATTAGGACATTCCTGCCTCGGAATGTGACTGCACACTCTGTGAACTGCAATTACCTTATGTGACAGAAAACTATGAATCCTTCTATTTAAACATGGAAAAAAAAACAAATAAAAAGTTTCCACCAGCTCTCTAAAAACTTCCTGAGGGTTGCTGTACCTTGTTTGTTGCACGCCACCACGAGAGCCGGGGTGTTTCTGGTGATCACGGCGTCCGTCAATAACACGTACAAGAACTCGGCCACGTCTCTCACTTCCTTCTGGAAGATTGCGCTGTCCACTACAAACACAATCGCTCTGAAAAAGAGGACAGGGTGATGATAAGACAGATGTGATAAGGATGGAAACAAGGGGACAATTACTTTTTTCACACGGGGCAGGTAGGTTTGGATAGCTTTTCTCTCTTAATCAATTAAGTCATGATGTTAATACTGCACTGTGTATGTACTCAGGTTATTTCTAACATTAAAGTGTGTTTGATGATGCAAAACATGTAAGGGTAAAAATGGCTTCACCATCCTTTCTATGCAGTCTATGGTCAGAACATTTCATTCTGTGGAAGCAGTCAGCGTTATTCCATTCACCTGTCAGCGGTTTACACATGCATCACCTCACAGATCGTCCTGCTCTCACCTGGCCGCAGACTTGAACTTCTCCAGGTATTGAGGACGGAGGCTGTCGTGGCCTGGCAGGTCTATGAGAGTCCAGGTGCTGCCCTGCAGACGGGGTGGAGAAAAACAGCGGTGTAAATCCCACACTCACACGAGTTACTTCTGTCCACCAACGGTCCTCAACTCACCCTGTCATTTTTGGCTTTGTATGGAGCACTGCTGTCAGTGATGGAGGTCTGTGTCCGCTTGAACTTCCCAGACAGCAGCTGCCAACACATGAAAAGCACAAAAAGAAATAAGCAAACAAACAAACATGAGCTGCCCCCCCGGGCTTCCGGGGTCTGTCTCAGCCTTAACTCACCCGGCTGAAGAGCAGGGTTTTCCCCGAGTCACACAGCCCCACCAGGAGCACGGAGGTGCGCACAGTCTTACTGGTGAGGAAGTACTTCAGAAAGACTGCAAACACAAAGCAAAGGACACACATTCATTGACTGATTCTCAACGTATCAAAGCAACTTGCCGTCCGTTAGCCAAAAATGTGTGGTAGCTCTAAGTTTGAATGACTTCCCGTGAAACCAACAGCCGTTGTTAGCTTCTTAGCTTGCTACTTAAGCTAAAGTATTTAAAACATATATCAATTTATTAAAACAGCACACGTTATTGTATTTCAACGTTAAAAAGCCCTGCTCACATATCAGGTTTATCACAGACCCGCTGTTTGCGGCTAACGGGGCTAAGCTACACGCTCGGCCTAGACTGCTAAGCTGCTAAGATGACTTCTTACCACAGGTGATAACAACCACCGCCAAAGCGACGATAACTCCGATCAGGAAGACCGGGTCCTGCTCTTCCAGCTGCTGCCGCAGGGACTCGATGTAAGGTTCAAACGGAGATCCTGCCATCTCCACGTCTGCTTTCTCTCCCACGTTTCCACCGGTGCTATGTGCTTCCATCAGTCGGTCCAAGCTGCTCTGAAATGAGACACGTCTCCTTTCCTCTGAAGCCTGTAGGGAGCCACAGCGACCAGCAGGGGGCGCCCGCCGCTCAGGACGTTCTCCGTTATGGGTCTGGATCACAGACTGTATGTAAAAGACATTACCTGGAGTGCTGGAACCAGCTAGAGGTAAATGACAGTTTCATGCCATGTTTATTTCTCTGGAAGTAAATGGAAGATAGTTTTCATGAGGAAAAGAGAAAAAAATAGTACCTGGTAATGTAAAAGGTCAAAGGTTACTCAAGCCAAACGACGCAGTTATCTTAGGGGATAAGGAAGTATAAAAACAAACAGCTAATTTTAACACGCAGGAAGTGAACTGAAATCAAGCATACACTGCAAATCCGGTGTAGTCCTCCATCTCCTTCTGACAGCTGCTGCATTTAACGGTCACCACAGCGGATCATCTGCCTCCACCTCACCTAAAGCCTAGCATCCTCCTCTGTCACACCATCCTCCTTTGTCATGTTTGTAGTGATGTCCTCCTTTACTACACGCACGAATCTTTGCGGACCTTTCTTCCAGCTAGCTGCTCCATCCGTTTTTCAGTATATCCACCGTCCCTCCTGGGAGCTGACCTGAGCTGTTCCTCTGGCGTACTTGTTCTCATCCATTCTGGTCATTCCCAATAAAAACCTTTACATAAACCTCCCCTTTCACTCTTGCTGCTAACCTTCTGTCACAAATCACTCCTTATATTCATCTCCACCCACTCCACCCTCCTTGCACTCTCTTTTTCACTTCTCTTGTGCCCATATGTTGATTTGGATGGGATTTAAACGCCACCTTCACTACATCTGCTCCTTGCACCTTCACCCTTTCTCCTGCCTCCCTCTTATTCACACACACAAAATATATTCCTTTTTGCTTCTACTCACTTTTTTTGGTCTTCTCTCCAGTGCATACCTCCACCTCTCCATACTCCTATCTGCTCCCTGCTCTTACAACAGATCACACTTTCATCTGCAAACATCACAGTCTACTAGTCTCATTGCATATATGGAATTTTCTGTAATTTGCCTGCAAGTAAATTAGTACATCTGTGCATATTTTCTGTCCAGTCAAAAGACTCGTGGCTCTGTTAATATTCAAATCCCTAATTTGGTCATGATATGACAATTACTTCATTTGTGTTATGTTTATATTTTGAATTCTGTGGATGTATAATTTGCTTTCCGGTGTTTCTGTTTTCAAGAGTAGTGATGTAGCGAGGTCAAACATTTGTTCAGATCCAGATGCCATTGTTATGAATACAGCCTTAAAATATGCATCTACCACGGCAAACATGTGCAAAATGTTCTCTTTTAAATTTTTATTCCCTTTAAACGAGAAACTGACTTTATTCTCTTTGTAGAAACTAAATGTCAAGACAACATGTAATCAGATAAAGAAAACCCCAGTTTGGGGCTTCATTCACAATCTTCTCATTACGTGATAAAGTACTGGAACTGTGGATTCTAACAGTTTAGTCTCCAAAAGAAAAGCAGCCTTGTTTTATAGAGTGATGAGAACAGGCATATTGATCGTATCTGTTACCCCAACTCATGCAGGCTTTAAGAATTTAGACCTTGTGGTGTAGTCTACGACACTGTAGCGTCAATAAGGGTAACCAAAGACATAACACAAGCCCATAAGAAATGCGTTAGCGCTCGCTAATCACTTGTGGCCATATCGTTCACATTATCTTATATGAAGACAGAGCTCGTGGTTTTCAATCGAGACCAGATGCGCTTTTACGCACTCTGTCTCCAGCCCTCACACTCGGCGCGCTTTTTACGCACACTGGATATTTGACTCCTCGGTCCTCGGCACCATGTCAAACGTCAGAAACGCAAATTATTCTAAAGGAAGAGGTTGTGTGCCATTCATTTCGGGCTCTTGAGTGGGAGCCCGGTTGTTTTCTCGTCGTGGAGAAGGGATGACCAACTCGTTAATGGTTTCAGTGGGATTTCCATAGCTTTTCTTTTTTCTTCTTCTTCCTCCATTCCGCTTCAGTAGAACTTCGACCAAAGAGGGATTTATAACTTCGGGATTTACTTGAAAACCGCGGATATCTCTTTCAGGGATAAATCAAACAATGATGCCTCTTTCTTTTCTCTGCGCGTTCTGCATGTGGATAAGTTTAGTCTGTCCATCGCTGGGAACGGGCTTTGTTTATCACTTCCCGGGCATCACTTTGCAGCGGCAGCGCATCAAATCGGAACAGAGTGGCGTCACGGGACCGCCGGGTACTGGATCCCGAACCCAACTCAGGTGCGCACACACTGGAGGGGTTGTAACGATTTAACGAAATTTATTGTGAAATAAAAACGGATCTAGTGCGAGATCATTGCTCTCTCTCGCTCTATTTCTCTCTCTCGGTATTAATCACGATAACATCTCTTTTATTCCGTATTTTAGGAACTGGTGTCAGTACACTGTTTTCAAAACAGTGTCTTGTCAGGTGCACAATGGGACTGAAACCACAGTGCAGAGAGTGTTTCAGAACTGCCGGTGGCCCGGACCCTGCTCCAAAGTCATCAGGTATACTTTTGACTCCAGTCAAGTCAGATTCTTCACTGGTCTGTGATGCAGATGCAACTTTGCTTTTTACAATAAATCATGGGAGCGTGGGAGGTGCTGCCTGGTGGCTGGGGCAGATTTAGTGAATAAGTGGCTTCAGGCAAATTTAGGCATGGAGCATCTTTTGTGAAACACTTACATCCCTAATCTGGCTGAGAATGTCTGCCAGAAGAGGATCTTCAAATAAAGTGATACTGTTAATGCAAAACAGCAGAAATAATTGTCTGAAAGTCAAAGTTCTGCACACATATTTATGTATGTATGACTGAAGCACTACCCACACAGTGAAATGAAGAGTTTCCACTGAAAAAGGCACTGAACCTCTCTGAGAGGTACGAGGTTGCAAAGGAAATTGTGCGTAATTGTATTCCTAATTCAAAGCTTGCAAGGCTCTTTGGTTCTTTATAATTATCTCTCTCTCCCCCCCCCCCACCTCCATTGGGGTTCCCAGTCTATTGTCCACTATACCAAGAAGCAAAATACTTCATGTTGTATGTGTGTTTGTGCATCACGTGTCCATAAAGTCAGAGAGTGTCTGTTCCAGCTACAGGACTGTGACCAGACCGTCATTCAGGACTACCTACAAGCAAGTCACTGCACTGGAGTGGAGATGCTGTCCAGGATTTGTGGGAGAAGAGTGTCGTGAAGGTGAGTTTCTTCCTTTCTTTCTTTTGCATGATGCAGCCTTGCTTAGACTTGGACTCGAGGAGCTATAGGGTTTTATCTGAGACTAATTTTCCCAGGGACTGAAACAAAGGCCATGTGTTATGCCTGGACCCATCTGCATCTTTTTAGCAGAACCATGCAGCTTTACCCACATCAGTTTCTCTTTTATATGTTTGCTGGTGTAGTCGGGTAGGTCGCTAATCCCGTGTGCCATATTGTGCGGCAGTCTTGATACAATTGTAGAGTTGCTTTGAATTAAGACTGAAAGCCTGTGTTGGGTTGCTTTGGGGAACTGGGACAGCAGGAAATCAACGGTTGAAAGAGATCCTGTGCACTCTGGTTTTGTACTTTTTTCCTTTTTTAAAAACATTTTTACAGCCATGCATTCAAGACGCTTCAGTGCCTGGAAGGAGGATTAGAATCACATTCTTTCTCCTTGTGTGTCTTTTCTGTCTCGCTACCATACACACACACACACACACACACACACACACACACACGCACTGATGTTACTCTTTTAACTGTAGTCAGCAGCAGAGGCAGCTGTCTCCCTGAATATCCTCTGAGCTAATAAAGTCAGAAGAATGAATGAAAAAAGGTCAGAGGAAGGTCCAGCAGAGCAGCTTGTAAAGTGGGTGTCTCGATTATGGGCAGCGCTGCTCCAGAATGCCACAGACCGCAGACTCCAGGCCCAGTAAAGACCAAAATCTTCAACCAGAGGCGAGTCACTGCAGTCAGCCTAAAGAAACAGTGAATGAAAGGAGGTCTGGTGCAGGACTGCATTTGACATGAAGTGTTTCAAAGAAAGTCTGGAGCTGCACTGGCTGAGACACAACTGTTTTAAAATGCACATTTATTTGAACAGATTTTGAATGAAATTATTAAGTACATCCACCAGCTTGGTAAATATTATGGGGAGCTGGCACAGCCTGTCAAAATTAGTCCAAGATTAACAATTACCTCAAAGAGCATGTCGCTTATTGGTCATAATTACCCCCACCTTGTTCCATTTTGCAGGATTATTCATTGTTGCCCTTGGATGGGCAAGATTTCCACAAAAACACATTTTCATACAAGTGGAATAAACACAGAAATGATTAGAAATCTGGAAAAAGGCTTTAAGATTAGCTGTATCCACCGAGTCTGCGATGCCAGAGATTCTGGTTCACTTGAGACCAAAGTGGTTGCAGGAGTGTGAAGAAGTAATCGGACTGTTTATTTAACGTTTGCTGAAATGTATTTGCACTTTCTAATGGCTACGGAGCAGCGAGAAAATCACCTCCATATGGTGAGACAGAGGGCCAGGTTGGACTCGGCGAGGAGACCTGAAAGGCAGGGGCTGATGTCACTGACAGTCTGTTTCACACTGAGGAGTGGAGGGAGAGCTGGGGGGGGTCGGTGTGTGGGAGTCAGGCTGCTGGAAGAGAAGA